TGGACTACACACTGGGATGGACCGCCATCTTCTCAAGAGGCATGTCATTTTTGTAGAAAAGGATTACTTAAATAAATAGATTATTTATCTTCGTTTTCGTATTCTTTCACCCTCATGGGCCGCCCTGTATATATTTTTTTTTCAATCTTCATTAACTCAAACACCCTGTATATGAAAATTCAATCTTGTTATTGTCATTAAAGTCACAGTTTGAGGAATGGGTATACGAGCGCGCGCTTATCATTCTAAGGGATCTCTCGCATGCTCTCGCTTTGCTGGAACTTCGAACGTCATGAATCGAGACAGCGTTGCCACACACAATAATGTAACAATATTAACATCCAAACACATACGTCCGACAACGTTGCAGCGCCGAGCGCTCGAGCCTTACTCTACCTCGATAGATCCGTTGCAAAGATAAGCGAGCGTCAGCGATGGATATTATTTTCAACTCGAAGTTTCTTATCTCTGGAATGCATCTCTCGCTTCACTCTACCTCGATGGATCCGTTGCAAAGATAAGCGCGCGCCAGCGATGGATAACCCGTTTGAATAGCATTAAAATAATTGAAATATCACGGAGGTCGGAATACCACAGTGTGTATATACGCTGTCTCATAATGCAAAGGTCCCTGGTTCAATTCCCCCCAAGCGGTGACAGCTTTTTTTAATTTATTTATTTAAAAATTCATCATGATGATGATGATGTCGTCACCATCTTGTTATTGTCATTAAAGTGTTATTTGTTGCGGTTTCGATAAGCTCGCGCTCCCGCTACCCCGCTTCCCCGCTAGAACACAGGCCGCGTTCCAGTTAAGATTAAAGCATGTATTTCCCTATGCTGGTAGTCGTGCTCTCTTAGTTTTAACTACTATTGAAGGATCTCAAAATGTCGTGGCGGATACTTTCTCGAGTGGAAGCTATAAGCAATCGAAATCCGTCATTCATTGACATTGCAGAAGCCCAAATTGGAGGTAACTAACTCAAAATGTATCTGAATCATTCAATCACTTGAACCCGAGCTGATTACGCTATACAACAATGAAAAATTGTATTGCGATACATCAACTAACCGTCTTCGACCATTCCTTCCCGAAAATTTTCGTAAGATCATCTGCCAACAATTGCATAATTTGGCACATCCAGGTATTCGAGCAAAAACTGAGTTGCTACGACAAAGATTTGTCTGGCCAAAAATGCACACTTATATGAAAGACTTTGTTGAAACATGTATCAACTGCCAGGAAGCCAAAGTTCAAAAGCACGAGAAATCACCACTTAAAATTCCTTTTGCCAGATGAACGGCTTTCTTGGATTCACATCGACGTAGTTGGCTCTCTTTCTCCTTCTAAGGCTGATATCTACATTCTAACCTGCATTGATCGATTCACACGTTGGCCAGAGGCAATTCCAATTCCTAACCAAACTGCTGAAGTTGTTGTGAAGGCTCTAGTCGAACAATGGATCAGCAGATTTGGAGTTCCAGAGAAGAAAATCAATCAAGGAATTTCGAATCAAATCTGTTCCGTTCTTTGACAAAACTTCTAGGCGTTAAAGTTGGTCACACAACATCTCACCACCCACAATCCAATGGGTTTGTAGAACGATGGCATAGATCACTCAAGGCATCTCTGATGTGCAGACTGAGAACCAATGAACGTTGGACTGAGGAACTACCAGCAGTTTTTCTTGGTTTGAGTAATGTTCTCAAAACTGATCTTCAGGCTTCACCTGCTGAGATGGTATTTGGCTCCAGTTTACGCTTACCTGGAGATTTTTTTCCAAATATTCAAGACAGCTGCTTCTGATGCTTCTAGTTATGTTCATAGACTGAAGCAAATAATATCGAAATTGTAACTAACTAATACATCATGGCCCAATTAACCGAGCATAATCAAACAATCAAATCTGAGTTCGTGTACTCACATATTCTTACACGATGATTCTGTACGTAGGCCGCTTGTGACGCCTTATACAGGCCCATATAAAGTGATATCTTGTTCTGAGAAAACATTCAAAATATATCGAAATGGACAGACATGAAATGTCTGGAATGGAATGGAATGGTAACAGTTTCAAGAGACCGAGTGAAAACAGCGTATCTTGAGATTGATGAAAATGTTCAACAAAACGCACATAATGATTCCATGAGATGGTCAGCCAGAGATGATGTCTTACCACTCTTCAATAATGGTGAACCGAATGAAAAAAAAAAGAAGAAGGTCACTTTCCAACTACCCAAAGTGAATTTTTGAATGATCCAGTATTCTACTTATGGAAGATGTTTCGGAAATGTTATTCCTCGTCAGAAGGGGAGTATGTGGTGGATTGCCATCACCCTATGTTATGTTATGAGGACGGACTGACAGTCTGGTCAAGTTGAGTTTATATTGATTTTTATTGTCCGACTTCGTTTTTTATCATTTGATCGAATAAAGCATTGAATCCATTGATACTTATTCCTGGTTTCCGAAATATTGACTCCTATTATAGATCCATTTATAAGGATCAGCCATTCGCGATAGCTTCTTAACCAAATATGACCTATATATATATATATATCCTCGTTCAAAAGATATTTCTGGATGTCAGTGTGATTTCAAGATCAGAATTTGAATTATCAAAATCCAGAATGTATAAAAGGTATAGTAAGAATTTCGTCAGTTACTGCAGGTCATCGATATCTGGTACACATTCGAATACAATTGTAGGTATTTGTAAACGAGGTGGTCTCTGATAAGCAATCAACCTATCTCGATCACTTATTCATCAACCTGTCTCAAAACCACCTCATTTAATAAAATCCTAATTTCCAACAAAAAGTATTTTTTTTCGAGCGAGACAGGTCGGCAAGTAGGTTCTTGGATAAATTGAATTGAAATGCCACATAATCATTCACAATATATCATAATAAAATAACCTTCTATATCTGAAGTCCCAGCTACAAGTTTGTGACACATCCACGTGTAACATGCATCGCACTTGTAAAATATCTGTGCTTGCATACACTTTGATCAAAATGTATTACTCTACTTTGAGACACTCTTTAGTTGTTATTTGAAACCATGAATCACTTCAACTTCACTATCAATCTCGAACAAACCTGGAAAAGGGGTAGAAAGGAGGTCCATAAATCAAAATATCCAATTACCTAACAGAATAAACTATTTTCATTATCATATGGATGATAAATGAATAAAAGTGAATGAAAATAGGACCTAACTGAATTACATGAAACTGACTTGATATTCATTGTATCCAAAGACTAGTTGAGAAATGATGATAACTGAGTAGGTATGACGGTACTTGAGCGAGACATGGGCGGGGCCTAGCAGGTGGGGCGGAGCTTGGAGGGGGGTGAGGTGGAGCTTGGAGGGGTGGGGTGGAGCTTGAAGGGGGTGGGGCGGAGCTTGGAGGGGGTGGGGTGGAGCTTAGGAGGGGCGGTGTATCACAGGTGCGGGAGTGGGTGGTGCTTGGCCTCGATTGGACGGGTATGGGAGCTTGGATTTGATAGGCCTAGGAGATATATTGAGAGTAATTGACGTGGACGTAGGGATGTGACCTCGAGTTGATTGGTTATGGGTGGAGTATATGAGATGAAAATGGATATCAACATGGAGAGAGGGTTAATGGCTGTTTGGAGGTGTGTTTTTGAGTGTATTACTTGCACATTGGCTTGTGGGTGTGTTATATGCTGTGTACAAGTGCGCGGTTGGGCAGGGTGTCGCTGACATGTCGGTGACATGAAAATGAAGATTTCCAGGTGATTGTAGTTTCTTTTGGATGTTGTAGGCGTATACTTCATTAACCGCATTTTGCTCGTATTTATATGAGACTTTCAGTATGAATAATGTGATTCGACAAGAGAGAAATGAGAGGTGGGGCAGCAAGCACGTATCCATCAACTCTCATTGGTTGAATTGGTAAATTTCCAAGTCGAATGGTGTGGTGGGGGCACCACCTCATATTATTGGTTGAGTTTACATCGAGAAAGGAGTTATCACTCACCTGAGCATCGTCGAATCAGCAGCAGCAGCATAGAATGTTTTCCCCCATGAGAGGGGTGTTCAGGCAGCTGGCATTGCTTCTCTGCTAGGTACGTTCAATTCATCAGCACCAGAATCAGCATTTTTTTCTCGCACGTGTATTTTACGGTTTTCCAAATATATTCATCACCCTCTTTTTCTCTCTCTCCCTCCCTCCCTCCCTCCCTCCCTTCCCTCTCCATGAAAAATGTGGAGAACATCTCTATCGAAAACAAAATAATGAACAACACTCACTCACTAATTCGACATACGCTTCAGACCTGCGTATACACATAGTGCACCATAGTGGGATGAAACGAAAACAACAATGAGAATTATGGAAATATTACAGCACATAACGACGTGACCTCGTTGACTGACTGACGTAGACTGACGAAATCACCTCGGCTACATCTGATTTGAGCAGTTTGGGTATGCGTGCGCACTTCACAAGGATAAGTCGAGCATTCACGAAGAAACACGATGATGATTATGTCTCTATTTGCCAATCCTGCCACTCCTGGCAACAAACACTCCTGCCACCTGCCTCTCCACCAATCAGACTCACCTGGTATCTACCACCCCTGCCATCAGACCCACCTGCTACCTGCTACCTGCTACTCCTGACACCTGCCACTTCTGGAGTCTGCCACTCCTGACACCTGCCACTCCTGAAGTCTGCCACTCCTGACACCTGCCACTCCTCAAATCTGTCACTCCTGACACCTGCCACTCCTGACACCTGCCACTCCTGACAACAAATACTCCTGCCACCTGCCTCTCTACCAATCAGACTCACTTGCTACCTACCTCCCTTTCCACCGAACACTCCTGCCATCAGACCCACCTACTACCTGCTACCTGCCACTCCTGAAGTCTGCCACTCCTGACACCTGCCACTCCTCAAATCTGTTACTCCTGACACCTGCCACTCCTGACAACAAATACTCCTGCCACCTGCCTCTCTACCAATCAGACTCACTTGCTACCTACCTCCCTTTCCACCGAACACTCCTGCCATCAGACCCACCTACTACCTGCTACCTGCCACTCCTGAAGTCTGTCACTCCTGCCACCTGCCACTCCTGCAACCTGCCACTCCTGCCATCTGCCACTCCTGCCACCTGCCACTCCTGACACCTGCCACTCACCTGCCACTCCTGACACCTGCCACTCCTGACAACGAATACTCCTGCCAGCTGCCTCTCTAAAAATCAGACTCACTTCCTACCTACCACCCCTGCCACCTGCCACTCCTGCTACCTGCCACTCCTGATACCTGCCACCCCTGAAACCTGAAATCTGCCACTTGTGCCACCTGCCACTACTGATGGATATCATTCCTGCTACCTCCGATTGAATTCACGCTTGGCACAGGAGCGCACGAAGGAAAATTCCTATAATATTCTTCGTGCGATGTGAAAGAGATCGCATTACTGTGCATACTCGGTGGTGCTTATCGCTACCCATCTTCGCCATATCTTCTTATTCAGTCTGTATCTATGTAACATGACGTTGCATCAAGTGGACGAATACAAGAGAATCGATGGTGTCATGGAATGAGTAGTAATGATACACAAAGTCGAAACTCAACTGTTTTTTTCATCATATATGCATGTTGTTATATCACCTATAACATGTTTAATTTTACATAAAATACAACAACAACAAAAATTGAAGATATATATAATATCTAATAATAATTCAACATATAGAAGATATTAGCAAAACTATAACAAAAGTGATACATAAAATATTAAAAATATATTGATGATACAGCTCAGTCACATATAAGAAGTTGGGAGAACTATAACAGGAAAGTGACATGCACATAAAATAGGTATGAAGACAAAAAAAAAGTATAATACAGCATGGTACGATACGTTATATTCATATAGAAAAGAGTTCGTCATACCCAGATTATTGTTGAAATATGGATAACTATTATGGAATAATCATAAATAAACATTTATCGAGTATGAAAACTCGATCTATATATATGGGTAATCGGCTAAGGTCCTTTAGCCACGTGGATAATTATTTCTTTTCTTTCTTGAACCCGTACGGAACAGAGCTGCCATCTTCGAAAAATCGTCTTTTTGTTGAATGTGGGCGATACATTTCAATTTCATCTCGCGTCACTACCTCATGCTCTTTGATACGCCGAATCACCTTCGATGTGATGTAGATTGCATCACTGGGCGTGAGTATCATTTCTTGAATTTTTTCAAAGTTGACGAGTTGTGATGCAGCATAAGTAAGGGAAATGCCTTTCACCTTACAAACCACATCCTCACACTGCTTATCTGTAGACCATATCTTGTAGGCATAGTTTTTGGGGCCTCCCGAAACAAAATTGGTAATATAAGAACCTGGACCATACGACTCCAACTCGTCTGTCATATCCCCTATGAATTCCCCTGTGGGGATATCGAATTCACCAGCTCTAGACACATATATAACCGAGTCAGTATCATAGTATAACACCCGTTCATCAAGTTCTTCGAGGTAGCTATAGAGTTTGAGTCGGGCCTGTGTTGTTACATATGCTGCTATAGCTACATTTACTCCAGTCAACACATCATATGACTCGTCAGTATGCTGATAGCTTACGACCAATGTGTTGTCATTTATCGCTATCGTGTTATTCACATCTATAGATGGACTAGTCATCATTTCAAAGAACTCACTGGGTTCGTTCACAATTTTTGTTCTTGGCTGATTCTCCCTCTGGCCAAACTTACCCCAAAATGAATTGAGGAAGAGTTTTGCCAAAGAGCGCAGCCCTGGGTTCTCAAAAATTTCTGCAAATTCCAGTTGAACATCTTCTCGATCGAGAAATTGTTCGATATACAGTTCTTTTTCTACTGATGAGCAGCAGTTCTTCGGCCAACCTGAAGCTTGTTGTTTTATCTGTATGAATTTGTTCATCATATCTGTGAACAATCCAGCTGTTCTTGTGGCTTTGTCAAATTTTTGTGTTTTGTAGCTCCATACCTCATGTACTTTATTCAATTTATATCCCATTTCTATAGCTTTCAATATCTCATCAGTCACCCATGTACCTGTCAGTACTCTTTCTTCTTCATTATGTGAACAAACTGAATTCAACATTTGCTCTCCACAGAGACATAAAACGAACATTAGTTTGTTATTCATTTTCTGAGGTAGAACCGGATGACGGAGGTTTTGAGGCGGCAGCAATGTTCATTTGATCAAACCATCGATGTTTCTCAAGTCGAGCTTGGAACACTCCTCCCCCACAAAAACATCAGGATGTCCAATAGGGAATTTTCCATATTTACATGCCCAGGGGTATAAGGAACATACATCGACGTACTTTATTTTTTCGTCAATTTTGCACTTGTAGTTCGAAAGTGTTGCCAGTTCTGCCGCCGTAAAAAGCGTCTCTAGGATTGAGTGGTAACGTTGCAAGTAAAGGATGATTCACAGTGAAAGTGTTTATTTCTTCATTAGATGCCATATCTCGCCTAAAATCACATTCCCACATCTCAATTACCTCGTACTGGAACTCACGTAATCTGTCTGTCTTCGCTACTGTAGATTCATATCTTAGATTCATTGTTTCAGTTTGGTTATCGAGTAAGGGCTGATCTCTCTGAAACTTATAACATTTAGGGCAACCGTGCTAGTAGCACCCATGAAATTCGAAGATTTGATTGGTTTCAGTGCAGAAACCATCAACCTTGACACCTCGTATACTGGCTTCTACTTGTTTGGCTGCATGTATAATATTGATGCTCCTCTGTTGTTCTTCCCATACTAGCCATTGGATACCGATCTCCGATTGATTATCGCGCCATCTATAACCATTTTTTGGAATTATTCCAATGGTGTTGGGCTGCATAAAGTTGCGACGATAAACCTTGTTACAAGCAGAGGCGATGGTACAAGCTTCGGTGAAAGGGCAAACATTGGTGGTATCTAGGAGCTGTTGACGGAATTTGAGGCTGGCTGCTGCTAATATTTCGACGTCCGAGATACAGTAGTCTACTATATCGCGTCGCATATTGAACTCATCGTTTTCATGTTGTTCAAACCATGCGAGGAATACATTTCTATCATCTTCGCGCATAGTGTCTGGGCTATAATACTCAAGAGCAGGTAATACCCCCACATAGTCTCGATTCTTTAAAGTATTGAAAAGATGTGGAAAATAACCTTTCTTGAAGTTATCACCCAGTCCAAATGCTTTTGGCAATTTTGAGAGAGCCATCGGAAAATAATTGAGAGAATCAATGAACTTGACATTTCTCACGGACATCATAATTATCTTCGTTCCCCTCATGATAAGTTCAGGTTTCAAGTCTGTTTCAGTGAGAATATAATTCAAAATGAAATTATGGTCATAGCCAGAACCGTTGTGCGCTATCACGACAACTTGTTTGAAGATTTTCCTTTGGTTCATCACGAATTCTGTAAACCGTTCTATGGGATTGGTTTCCAGGATATGAAGGCGTACACCGCATTTCTCACATCGTTGTGAATCTTCACCCAAACAGACGTCACAACATTGTTTGAATATGCAAAGGTTGGGCTCATGAAGTAACGATCCATCATCTTGAATCCTTTCTTGTCGCGTCTCTAAGTCGTAAAAAATAAACAATGTATCTGTCAATTTAGGAAGAGTAGTGTCAGGTTGCATGTAGCACAAATGTCCACTGGGGTTGAATGTTTTGCATATCTTACAGAATACTTCCCCACAAGTGTATTGTCTATCACTGTTGACAGTCTTGAAACATTGCTCGCAACGTCGAATCTTTTCACAAACACTGTTCTTGCCCATCAATGTTTGATGATTTTCATAGCATTTGGTGCCTCTAAATGTTCGCTTACACTCGTTACACTTCACCTTCTTCTGATCTTGCTGACACGCTGGAGACTGCTGACATCCTGGACATGTACCGCCGCATCTATGTCTATTTTTATTATCATATGGTATGTGACACCGCTCGCAATAATAACTGCAACAGAAAGCAGCCGTGAGGGAAGTGATAACGTAATAATGTCCCTCATGATAAAGCAGGTTGAGACATTTCCCCTCTGCGGGACCTTCAAAGATAACGTCACGACCCTTATTGCCATATTTGTAAATTACGATTCTGTAATTTCTGAGGAATTGTTGGAACTGTTGTACCTCGAGTATTCCGCCTCCCTCTTGAGGAATTGTGACGTTGGCATCCTTCATCAATTGGAGAGCCCTTTGTGTTTGGACCTTTCCGATATCACTACGCACTCTACGGTAGTCGGGGTCCTTAGTGATAGCAGCTGTAGCGACGATGAGAGCACGAGGTAAACATAAATTGTCTTTGTTAACTATAGCAATGATCCCCCTTCGCATCCTACATTCTTCCTCAAAATTATTATAGTTTCGGCCCTTTCCTTTACCAGTTGGCATTCGAACAGAAGTGACACTCAAACAAAAAGTATCAGTATTCAAGCCAGTAGAGTTGGATTGGTAGATGCTCGCAATAACATCCCACACATCGTCAGAAGTCACCTCCTCTAGGGATTTAAATTTAATCCATCCATCACCTTTGGCAAAGTCTTTCGAACAAGAAGAGAACCCAACTTTGTCAGAGGATTTGAGGTCTTCGGTAGCCTTTTGGACCACTTGCTTGACGGCTTCTCTGACCCAACCAACCGGTTCGGCATTTTGTGGCACAGATTTGAGATTGAACTCCAAAGTACGCCCCTGGAGGTTGAATCGACGGACTGCTTTTCGGTAATCTCTGATGATGATGAACTTCTCCATGATGAGAAAGAAATATAGATGGTTCACAAGAGCTAAGACACGTCCGACTTGTTCAGCGAACTTCAAAAGACTGACTGATCGACTAGTCGATGTTCTTTTTATACCAGTAGAATGAGTAATCTGCGGTGAGGAGGAATCTGAAACAACGTGAAGCCATCTATCGTCATCATTGAACTAGCTACTGAATCAACAATGATTGCTCTTCAATAGTCCATCAGTGTCTCTCAGAGAAAGTGTATTGTGATTGATTTAGCAAACTATTGTTTCCATCGAAGGCAGTTTGAGAATGATATCATCATGCATTACGTTGTTTTATCGGATGAAAATGAGTAAATAGTATAGGACGATATCAACAGGACTCCTAATGGATATATCATATTCATCTATATTTTTGTATGCTTGAGAGAAAAAAAAAACGATCGCCAATAAGAGGAG